GCAAAAAAAAAAAAGGCTAGTTTATGTGAAAGTAATATTTTGTTCTGAGAGGTTTGGAGCATGTAGAGATTGAGTTTTTCTCAGGAACCTCTACCCCTTTTACATTTCTATGAGATAGGTGTGTGCACACACACGTATATTTGCCAAATACCAGACCAGGGTCTTTGAAAGCAATATCAGAAAGAACTGTGACATTCTTACGAGGTTACAGCAATGCTGTACCCTACCCAAAACTGGTGATCATATGAGCTTGTTTTCTTTGAAGTGTTGTAGGCCATATTTTTTTACTTAAATGAAGCAGCTACTTAAAAATGACCTCTTGAGGTAATCACTGACCACTTCGGGTATTCCAAAATCAGAAATGGCTATCACTGGGTTCCAGTCAGAATAGCCACTTTTTTGATAAATTTCAGTATGAGATTTGTAGGGAATTCTGTCCAAGTACTGGTCTAGCCTTTCGTATTGCTGCAGTTCCGCGCTGGCATTTAGGATGTCATTATGGAGGTAATAAGAATGCCTTAGATTCTCTCCATGAAGGCTGCCACAATGTCCAGACTCTTCTTCCCTTCTTTCTGATGTGAAAATGTACTTGTAGGCTCCGAGGGAGGAAAGTATACATAGGAAGGTGGTAGTATAATTGCTCCCCTGTGAAGAACATTGTTAACAGCTCCCTGACAGTTTTGAAGGTCATTGCCTCATAAATGCAGATCTGGTCCATAATTTTTGCTCCTCTGGTTTATTTGTGCCTGGCTATATTTATTTACCATCGTTGACACCTTCCTTTAGTATTTCATGTGGGAGAAAATAGGAAACATGAAAAGGCTACCTAATAATCTTTAAACCCAATTGCACTAAATGGAGTTATTTAAATGCATGTAAGTGTTTAGGCATGTATTAGCCGAAAGGATGCAGTTTTAAACTATCTCTTGGATCGTAATAGTTTACTTACAAACTATTAAGACAATATATTGCAGATTTTCCAGTTGAAATATGTATTGAGAAAAAAAATTATATTTTCAAGTCAAAAATAATAACTGCTTTTTTCTTGGCCGGGGTGGCTACCCTAGAAATGAACTTGATTTTGCAGTGAACACATCAAACTAACAACTTCTGAAGCACCTAGGTTTAAATGAACTTTTAGTTAAATAAGACACTGTCTTTAGATAAAATGTGAATGCAGAGGCAGCTCTCTAGTGCCACCAAGGTTTGGACTGGCTTGTAGCTCAGCTACTTAGTAGCTATAAGACCTTGGGTAAGAGGGAATATTGAGGATAGAGCAAAGGTCCTGCACCCTGTGCTTTCTGGGCACTCCCTGTGCAGTAGTGTGTTAGTCTGGGTACTTTAGAGAAACAAAGCCACAGCAACTCATGTATAAGAGAGTTTTATGTAAAGAAAGTGTGCATCAAGAAAACATCCCAACCCAGTGCTGCCCACGCCCACAAGTCCAACATTAACACATTAACCCGTATGTCCGACACCAGTCCACAAAGTCCTCCTCCATCTCACAAAACAGACACAACCATGCCAACTTCAGGAGGAAAGCCGAATGTGTAAGCATCTCAGTGCTGGCAGGGGTCTCCACACGGCTGCTCCAGCACCCAGGGCTGCATCGGGGTAGGTCCATGTGGCTTCTCCTTGGGGATGTCTTGCAGGAAGTGAGCGCCCCCAGCTAAAGCAGGGAACTGGCCAAGGCAGCTGCACCCTGACCCGACCATCAGAAAGCAAGAGACCCCAGAACTAGAAAGGTGAGGCTCACTGAGCCATTTATCCCTCTGCCCTTCAATTAACCCCACACGTGTTTATTCGCCAGCTCCGCACAATTAACTAACTCAAGTAGAATCTCACTGACCTCACAACAGCTTTATAGATTGATTAGAAACCCATTGTCCTGGACGAAGCAACTGAGGCTGTGGGCGGTGGGAGAGGCTTTGTTTGTTGAATGGCTACTAGGCTTTAGTCATTTTGCTGGATGCTTGCTCACACCTTGCAGCACCATCTGAGAGGAAGGTGATCTTATATCTCCCTCTGACAGATGAAGGACAGGCCCAGCAGCCAAAGGAACTTATTGAAAGCTAACAGGAGGCAGCACCACATTTGAGCACTAGTTGTTTGTCTCAAAACCCATTTTGATTTCTTGTCTCCTTTCTGATTTCCCACGTCACTTCACTTATATGTACCTTAGTCTCTCACCTGAAAAAAAAAAAAAAGGAAGGCTTTCATATAAGGAGCGCTGGCCGTGCCATTGGGTAAGTAAGCGCTGGGCTGCTACCCACAAGATTGGTGTTTCAAACCTACCCGTTGCCTGGAGAGAAAGATGAGGCTAGCCAGCACTCATTAAGATTGACAGCCCCCGAAACCCGGTACAGAATTGTTATAAGTCAGAATTGACATTATGGCAGTGGGCTTCTTTTTTTGTTTGTTTGCTTTGTTTTATGCTTATTTGATAGTGAGGGGAAAATGCTTTTGAAATCTCATTACAAATAAGGACATCTAAACAGACTAATAATACTGTAGCTACATTGCCTCTTATTCCACGCAAATAAAAATATAATTGGGAAATGTTTTATTTACCTCAGGAAAACAGTTTTAGCCCTAAGACCACTTAAAATACTTTTTGATTAATTTTAGAGATTTTATGAAATCCCAGGCTGGAGTAAACTGGATTCTTTATTAGAACTATTGAAAAAAATTTTTTTTCTCTCTAAAGAGTTTAGATTTGCTTTGAGCCTTACTAGTCTTTGACTAGAGGGGCATTGATTACCTGGACTATGATATGTCTTTTCTAAGAACTTCTCTTTCTTATTTGGCAAGCAGAATTCTCAATTTCATTAATGCAAAAGGGATG